CTTCTAGCGCCATGTTCACTTGAGCTTGCCGGCTCCTATACCTTCGCCAGAACAATGCCAGCGCTGAAGCCTAAACAAGCTAAAGCCTGAACTTTTCAACTGACCTAAACCGTGCAGCCCACACCCTTCAAAAACCCTAAACCCTAACCCCTAAACCCCGAACCCTAAATCCTAGACCCTAGTTTCTACTTACCATTTGAGCTCAAACCTACAGCCCGGCCAGGTCTTGCCCTTCCTCCGCTTACTGCGGGTTCTTCGGCTACTGAAGCTCTTCCAGGTGTGCTGCGGCCTCGGGACCTGGGGATTGGGTTTAGGGTTTAGGGTCTTTTAGTTTTGGGGGTTTGGGTTTGGGTCTAAGGGGTTTTAAGGTCTTTTGGGGGTTGAGTGTTTAGGGTTTAGGGTTGCTTGGGGTTTACGGTGTGCGGATATCAATGGAGAACCAAAGGGAAACTGAAATGGAAGCTGCTATAGGCAATATAGCTGGGATATGTAGGTGTTATATAGTAACAAGGGAAAAGAAAACGGAACCTACCATTTAGGGTTTAGGGTTTAGGGATAATACCCCAATGATTGAGAATCAACAGCAAAAGAGAAGTGAACATGAAATGGCAACTGGGTGTAAATTGAGGCGTCCAGGGATTGGGGTTAGGGCTTATCTCCCTGGTGCTTAGGAGGGAATGGGGGAATGGATTATATTGCTTGGTATTTGGGATTATATAGGGACTACTATAGGGATCCATTCCCCCATTCCCTCCTAAGCACCAGGGAGTTCTTGGGTTTAGTGTTAAGCTGTTATGGTGGAGGGCTTAGGATGAAGCCCGAACAGCCACGCTCCTCGTAACGGAGTGCCATGGGGACCTGCACAGAAGGTCCTACACACGGGCCTTATCTGGGTGCTGTCCGAAAACTGCACGTGGAGGGTTTTGTATAAAGCGAAGGTGAGCTGGCTTAGACCGCCTTCTGCAAAAGTTTGCGCTGATGTTGTTGACAGGAACTTTGGATTTACGCGAAGAGTTTTTTTTTCATGAGGGGGTTTTAGACAACCTCAGTGCGGGCAATTACATGTTACTCGTAGAGTAGGCTTCTGCGTTTAGAGCTGGAAGTTCAGCGTTTGCAGATTACTCCGCCGGAAAGCACCTGATATTCCCGAAGCTCCAAGCCCCTGAAAGATCTCTTGCCGCAAGCCCCAAACCCTAAACCCCTAAACCCTAAGCCCTAAACCCTAAACTAGACCCTATATATATATATGTATATGCAGCCACAGAATCTTGAAATCTGAATCCCGTTTGATTGCTCCAGGGCTGTCTGGGCCCTGAGCCTTTCTGCACCCTTTCAGCCCTCTCCCGAAGGATCCCAGGTAAGTATACGGGGAATATTAACCTAAACCCTACTACGTAGTCATTTTACTTTGTACCATACAGATACTTAAGGCCCTAAATGAAAGAAAACCCCGATATTACCCTATATAACCCCGTATGCTACCCCTAATACAACCCCATTTGTACCATACAGGTACTTAGGATCCTTTGGGTCTTAAGGCCAACCACTTCACATCCCCAAACCCTAAACCCTAAAACCTGTACCCTAAACTCCTTCACCCTAAACCCATAATCCCTAAACCCTAAACCCTCTAAACCCTAAACCCTACACCCGGTCTTAAGGCCAACCACTGCGCATCATTGGACGGGCCGTTGTGAAAGCCTTTGCTGTGGTCGTGCTCGTTGGATTAGTCGGCGCCTCAGCCGTTTAGGGTTTAGGGTTTTAGGGTTTTAGGGTTTAGGGTCAAGGGTTTTAGGGTATAGGGTTTAGNNTTTAGGGTTGGGGGTTTCCATGAATGGGGGGCCGAATAGAAACCCTAAACCCTAAAAAGCTGTAATCCCTGCTTTAAGGACTCCCACAAGAGGGAGAAGCTCTTGCGGCACAAAGTACTTGAAGCTGTCAGAATCCTTTCGCATATTCCCTGCAGGGGTCGTAGGGGGGAACCCGCTATGGTCTCCAGAGCCCCCCCAAAACCCTAAAACCCT